TTCCAAATTAGCTACCAACTGAAGTCATTCAGACTGTTTTTGGCTTTACTTTAGACAAACAAAAAGAGTTGATGTCTGTTGTATTGGCCAACGGATCAATATACAGCACTCATTTGTTACACGTGCATCTGCAGTTTGGCTTTGTATTTCATGTTTAGTATTCATGGTCCAGTTGTCAATTGGATATCTAATGAGCCGGAAACTCAAGGTATGGATTGAAACAGGTGACAGACACGTCAGCTTTGTTGTCACCATTGGGATGTGTGAATGGTAGGTATAAGAACTCACAGATTTTTTTGATTTTTCTTTCCAGATTTGCACCAATAGACTTGTGATTTGTTCATGTTACACCACATAATTGCCAAGAAATCCCATAAAAAATGTTTTAGTTTTGAAATAATTTTGTTACAATTTATACTAATTTTATCATAGTTTTGTAATACTGTTGTTACCTGTACAGTATGGAGTGGAGTATAATCGAGTAGACTTAAAGGAATCGTTGAAGCATGGAGGTGTGAAAGCTGGGGTCCTATAGAGACCAAGTTATATGTTTGTAAATCAGTGACTTGAGATGAGTGGAGTGTTTCTAAAAAAAAGCTTCCTTCAAATTTCGGTGATTGACATTGGGGTTTTAAAATAAATGATGTAATAAGAAGATCAGTCTTGAGTCAGTACATGTACATTGAACTGCCATTCACAAGCACTGTACTCTATGTATGTTTTACTAGACACTTCCCTGTTTCTTTTTGTACACGTGCATTAGTGAAAAAAAAAACCTGCTCAACATACTGAACTACATGTGTAGTACAATCAGCTACGTCATGTATGTATGAGCTGTGGCATGCAGAATATGAACTGCCTCCACCAACTTAGATTACGATGTATAAAATGTGACTGAGCTCGTCCATTTTTGTTCAGATAAATAAACAGTTGGAAGACGTTCAACGTCTGACCGTTACTTCACCCTCAGCTTGTGCATTAGTATTGGAAGCTGACAGTATTTTGAGGGTTGGTTTCTTTGTTTATGTAGGAGATCACAGGTAAGCAGGGTCGCTTGTCGTTTTGTACTGGTTGAGTTGCCAAAACATTGAAATCTCCACATTGTAAAGCAAAAGTGAAAGTTGTGGTTAGAGTCTAGTAGGACGTAGGACTGTGCAGAATGCACCGATTATTCAATCATCAGTCGGATAGGCGATAAGCAGTTTTACCATTTTAAATTTTTTCTAAAAAAAATGAACAGTCTTGAGGAGATGATGATGAAAACATCCACGATCGTGTAGAAGCTGCCTGGTGTTATTGTTTGTCAAATGCTACGCTTTTGTTGAAAGTCACTTTTTCGTGATTTGAGAGCTTCCATGAGGACTATTACATGTAGCTCCAAATTCTTTGTTAAGATTGGTCAAATTATCAGTCGTATCCGCATCCTGATTATGCACACAATATCTGAACAATTATTTCATGTATTCAGACTGAGATTGCCCAAGTACGACAGATGCTTGCCAGAGTATTATGCTATTACAGCAGTTGGGCTGGCAATTACAAGTGTCGTCTGATTGGTGATGACAGACAATCTCGTATGGTACGTTGGGGGGGGGGGGGGGGGGAGGTGTACACAGGCAAAGCCTCACACCATATGTATATGTATGTGTGTCATCCCAATATCAGTAAATGTATTGAGCTTCATTCTGCTCATACCAAGACACTCATCATTTTTGGGTACATTGTAGATGGTAAGAATTGTCGGCAATTGGATGGCTTAGCCCACGAAAGTCTTTCGACTTATTTCCAGTGGCGGCCCTTGGTAGAAGAATTGTGAAAGAAATTACAGTTTTAGTGGTGGCAGGAAAGCCCAGAATGATATTCTAGGGGAAAACCCATGGAGACAGACAGGGACTGAAAACCCAATCCATATATTGGCTGCGGGCAGGATTTAAACCCGGGTCACAGCGGTGGAAGGCGAGACAAATACCGCTACGCCAACCTGATCCCCTATCTGCCATGACGTATTTATGTAATTTTTCAGTGTAAATTTTATACAGGTTGCACCCCTTCTGATTTGAAAATCACAGGCTGGTGGAAAAAGGCACACCTGGATTTTTCTAGGCATGTGATTTTTCTAGGCGTGTGATTTTCTAGGCATGCGATTCTGTGGTCCTGAAACTGGAACTGAACAATCCGGTATTTTTTTTATAATATTCATCTTGGTTTACAGTGAAGCCATATTCTCTTCATCGACATACTTTTTTCCACAAATTATGTATAATTAAGTATAACTATGCCATGAATGTATGCTGAGGTTTGTGGAACAGAGGGATTCAGGCGTGCGATTATTCGCACTTCTCAGGAAGCTTTAGGTGTGTGATGGCGTGGGGGTGCTATCGCACGCCTCAAATCAGAAGGACTGGGTTGTAAGCACATTTCCTGTTACTGTACACAATTTTGTTGTTTAGAAAAGATGCAAGACTGCTTATAGTGAATTTAGTCTTGAAAGCCCGACTTAGACATCTCAACTGAGGAATCCAACAAAAGATATACTGTAACCAGACTATAATCTGTTGACAAAAGCTGCGGGATCAGCTGGGTGTTTTTTCTGTGGATTTTTCCTTGTGCTGTCCCTTCTTCCTCCTCTTGTCTTCATTAGCAATGGGGGAGGCAGCACATGGGATGTAGCCGAAATGATCGCCAAAAAAAGCCGTCTTTGTTATTGTGAGGTGAAATTCCACATGAGTTATCTGACCTATTGTAGGTGTAAGAACTCCCCTGGTATGTAACGGGGAATAAATCTGGCCGACAGTCACCCCCATTGTGAGTCCTCCCCCTCCCACCCTTAAGGCTAAGGATTTCATTCTTGAAAAGTTCCTGTAAACGGAGTGAGAATATCGTGTCATGGGTTCCTGCCACCCTGTTTGGATTTATAATGTGGCGGGTCTTTTTCTTTTGTTGGCGTACAGGATTTGCCACTGTAATGATAATCCGTTGCTTTATGTGCTGAGAGTACTGCTCAGGTACCACCCTTAACAGAGTGGGAATAAAGCCCAATTTTGCCCTCCATTATGTCCTTTCCTTGTACAATTCCTCAGTTAACTTTGTCAGAAAACAGCCATATGAACACCTGTGTGAGATGCCTCTGTGTACACCTTATTTTTTGAGAGTGTCTAATTCCTTGCTACATGTATTCTTTTTCCTCCTGTTAGATTTTTGGAACAATGGACGTTTTCCTTGCTCCGTGATCTTTACAGCCTGCAGCCATGTAGCATTCCATCGGAGTAACTGCAGTAGGTGAGTAAGTTATGTGTCAAAGATTAAAGGTACTGGCACATGTACATGTAGGATCGTTTGATCGTGTATACTTCTCTCCTGCCCCTTTTCCACTTTTAATTCAGTTATTTCCATGTGTTTTTAATATATCTTTTACTTAATGTTTTTATTTTTAATGAAATATTGTAAACCACATCCAATTTGGGCCACGATTTGTGGTCTTATAAACCAATTTCTTCAATTCAATTAAACAGTGTGCAATGACAGTGAAAACTTCATTGCGAAGTTCTCAATGTCACAAATTGTAGCAATTATGCATGAGAATAACAGATGTTAGCAAGGCCAGTGCCATCCTGTTACACTTCCTGTTCCTGGTTGGCTTGAAGAAACTGGTTATTTCCTTCCTAGAATCAGAAGAGAAAGTAGAAAGTTGCCGAAAGCCAGAGAAAAAATCCATCACACTATCCAGTCTCAAGTCAGGTGACGAGTCATTCAAATGAACTGTGAGTGTGACAACAGTATTCCTTTGTCCTTGTTACGGTACAATGTGACTGGATGTGTGATTGATTTGTGATCGATACATGTAAAGGCCTCTTTACAAAGTTGTGTGGAGCAAGTTTCTCATGTTTGAGAGATAGTTATGAAATGAACTAAAAAGCTGCTTTGTGACTAGTACTGATATAAAAAAAAAACCCAGATTTTTTTAATTCGGTTTGAATTCCACTACTCAGTTTTTGGATTGTGGAAATCAGATATTCAAAACCAACATTAAAAGTTTTTTTGGAACATCCCCCAATTTGCTCCATAGTCTCTGGTTATGACCACATTTATTGCTAGCGATCTTCTTGGTTCATGACTAGCCTGCTCATTGGACTGATCAGAGAGTTCCCTCCCACTTTAAGTCACCATTACAACTCTGGAGTGTTTTTGTCAAGGCCCAGTGGTCATTGAATCCTGGAAACTATAAAAAAATCTCCCTGGAGGGCAGTGCATGCGGCACCTCACTTGTCACTTTAAGTTGGCAGGACTGTGAGCTGATTGTGAACTTCCAGTGAAATCATATTTCACCGTTATTTGGTTAAAAAAAAACAAAAAAACACATACAGATCAAAATGTTAATGGGCTTGGCGTTTCAATCCGAGCAGGTTTCTTGGTTTTTTCCATTACAATCTGTCAATTTTTACCCTGCTTCCAAAGTAAAAAGTACATCAGCAAAGGAGTCTTACTGTATTGATTTGGAATTCCAATCGACAAAACATATGCACACAGTATGTATCAAAAATGTTTCCTTTTGTGGACAAGTAGAGATTACAAACTTCGTTCATTTTTGTCATATTGGTAAAGTTTTAAATGTCCCTGAAGCAAATTTTAACTGGATCTATTTACGTCATGTAACCATTGATTTGTGTTCAATGTTAACAAAACAATAGCGCATTTGTATGTCATTGCGTGCACATTACTTATATCGTTCAGAAATGTTTAACACTTTCACGTATCTCATGTTGCTCTTTCAGTAGATAATATTTGTTGTTGGACTTTTGAATGACATTTAAATTCAATACCGTTTCCCCCACAGGAAATCACCGGTTAACATGTGAATTGCATTCACATCACATTTCAACGGGAGCCAGTTATATTTTGGCCGCATTGACATTTGGAGTTGACGTCACAATCCTGTGTGAATTCCGAACCAATGAACACTGTCTGGAATTCAGAGGTAATCACAACTCGCTCATGGGACGATGAGAGCTCGTATCCGGCCGACAATCTTTGCTGCCGCCCTCCTCCTGTGCCTATCCCTGTACCTCTTCCTCTATGAGGGCGGGGTCAGTCACGCCCACCCCAAGGGCCAAGTACCAGGTTTCTTTTCCCTGGCATCCATCACGCATCTCTTTGCCACGGAGCTGACGGTACCGGCCAACGTTCAGATCCGAGGTCTACTGAACACGACGGACGGCTGCCATCGACTGTGGCTGAAGGGAGAGTCGCTGTGGTTTGATTTAAAGTTTAACGGGAGTCTGAGTCCGCTGTGGACACGACATAACAAGAAGCTGTCAACGGAGGTTGCATTATGGTGGAAAGTAAGTTGAACATTAAATGTATCATTGTTGGAAGTTTTTTTATCTTTAAAAAAGTACTGAGTTTTATTCCAGAAATGCAAGTATCTGTCAAGATAGCCAATATGGCTCATCAGGCTGGCCTTTATCTCTGGCTTCATTGGCATGAAATGTCTGAGAATAATTCGATTTCCCTGGATGGGATGCTAGGGCCACAAAAAAAAAATCTGCTTCCGGTTTCCCTACGTACTCTATTCTGACAGCCCCTACCCTAATTTTTTTATGGGAAAATTGAGAAAAAACACCCAAAACCATCAATTGCTACCTTTACCCTTGACTACACGCAGACACCTCAAAAAAAAAAAAATACACAAAAAAAAAAAAAAAAAAAATCCCTACCTACCTACCTATTTTCAAATACCATAAATGGATGCAGAACTTTTTTTGGGGGGACCTAGTCCATTGCAGGTTACTCCCAAACTAATGCCAGTACCCATTCATAGTAAGTGGGGGTGAAGTGGCTTGCCCAAGGACACAACATTTGAACCCCTTACCCTCTGATCATGAGTCACAAACCCTAACCACTAGGCCACACTCTAGCTATTCCACAAAAGGTATTGGCACAAAAGGTATGACTGGAATGCGATTTTGTTCTTCAAGTCATGTCACAAGTCATGCAAGACTGCCAATTGAGTACATGCATGTGAAAATGTTGGATACAAATTTCTGAAATGGTTAACAGTGAGTCTTAAGAAACATACATACGGTAGTTGTATGCACTTTTCAAAAAGCTTAATTGACACATGAAATTCTCAGAAACTTAATTATTTATCCATACATATTCTTCACAAAATGTAAAAAAAAGTAATCAAGTTGTACAATATTAATTATGTAGTTCTTAAAAGACACAGCCTTTCTGCAATTTTTTTCAGTTTTGAATGAGTGCCTTTACTTCTCAAAGTTAGGATGTCACTTAGATGTAGATCTTCCCCGAGGTTGCCCCTTCTTGTGTACCAAACATCTTCTATTTGTCCTCATCCTCTGTGATCTTGCCTCCCGGCAGACGTTACAGAACAGCAAGTTCACTAACATCTCCGAGGTAATGAGGGAGGCACTGCGTGTCATCCCGGGGGAGGATCCTTATCGCATACGGGACGTCGGGCGCTGTCTGCGCTGCGCCGTGGTCGGCAACTCAGGGAACCTCCGTGGCAGTAACTACGGCCATCTGATCAACTCTCACGACTTTGTCTTCAGGTGGGTTGGGTGCTATCTTTGACGACCTGTCTATCTTTTCTTGGCGAGGATTAAGGGTCTCCAGAGACACAAACAAAGCCTTGAGCTACAGTGTGTGATTGTTTATCAAGTTTAGAATGAGTAGAACAAGTAGCAGTGTTATAGTCCACTTTTTTTCAAAGTCTCCAAGTATACTAATACAAAAGGTCATGTTTTACGTGTACTGTAGGAATAAAGCCGAATTATTACTACAGCTATTGACTGCAATCTGTGAATAAGGAAGAATGTGGGTGTTTTTTGAAAACACAACTTTCCATAGTTATTCAAGAAATGTATCAATATTTTTTCTCCAAATATTTGGACACTTTTTAGCATACAGGACACATTAGTCTCAAAATACCACACGGATTAGTTTCTTAGGCTTAATTCCAACTGTACCACAGTATCCGCCATCCGATTATTTCAACATATTGAATCTATTTGATATTACATGATTTTGCTAACATAATTGCTGTAGAGGAATCCTCCCCCATTGGAATTTCCACTTGCAAACGTTGCCCAACACTTTGCCAAACTCAAATGGCATGTTTGAGCGCCATGGTGCAATGGTTATGGTGTTTGACCCCTGTGCCATGGTACGTACATGTAGGTTCAAACCCTGACGAGAAACATGGCGTTTGTGTCCTTGGGCAAGACACTTTACTCCACCTTTGGTCAAAAAGCGGTATAAATAAGTACCACACAGTATATTCTTTATAGATAAATGGGACATCACCAAGCCCATGTACAATAAAAATGCACTCAGCAGTTTATGTGGCTCGACCATCATCTTTGTAAAAAGCATCTTTACTTTGCTCTTTTCCAAAACAAACCCACAGAATTAACAAGGCCCCTACTGTGGGCTTCATGACTGATGTCGGCAGCAAAGAAACGCACCATTTCATGTACCCAGAGAGTTTCCTGAATCCTGGCCACGATGTGAACTTTGTCCTGATGGACTTTAAGCTGCTGGACATTGCCTGGCTGACCAGTGCACTGACCAATGGCAGCATTAAGAGGTACATGGAGACTGGGGAGAGGGGAGGGGGGTGGCTGTAAAGATCGTGTTTAGATTTCTTGTAGTCAAAACCGTGACTGTGTATGATACCATATGTTGCAGACTGTAAGCAGTAAGCAGTTCTAAGCACACCAAAGGCAAGCATACCTCAGAGCAAAAAGCTGCTTAAATTGGTGACGTAACAATTGAAATCTCTGTGCGCATACAACCGTTGGCACATCTACGCCATATACATGTAGTGCTTCAGGTTAGCACCATTTTCTGCTTGTGAAATTGAGGTAAGCTCAGTTTCAGAGGCGGCGGGAAAAAAACCTAGATATGTATCATAGAGATTAGAGAGAAACCCATGGAATCATGTAGGGACTAAAAACCCAATCTACAGTTGGCCTGGGAGGGGAATCGAACCCTGGCCTCAAAGATGGAAGGAAGAATGAACCATTGCGGCTACCTGACTTCCCAATCAGACGGTCTTTTAAGGACACTGCTTAAATGAAAAAAAGGGAGAACATTGTTTTTTTTTTTTTAATTAATTAGATATTTCTCATCAAAAGACATGAAGTGGTGATGTTCAGGGTTGAGTCTTAAATGTACTTCAAACTAGGAAAAAACATCCATAACAAATTAGCTCTTTTTTTTCCTTTGTAGAACATACACGGCAGTCATGAAAAAGATAAATGTAACTAGAAGCAAGGTATGTTATCAGTTATTTGACATTTGTTAAATCTTTTGATGTGATGTCTGAATTTTTGGCTGGAATTCATGTTATTATTATTCGGAAATTGTCTTGTTCCAATATTTTTCTAAATTATGCATCCTGTTCACACTATTTTATGACAGTCAAATATTTTAGTGCCCTATTTTTCCTCAACTTTACTTCTTTAAGAACCAGTGACTCTTCAAAGCTGTAAAATAATTTCTGAGTCTTGAGACTTCTGTTACATTACATTTGAATGACCCTTTGATAAAGTCCTTACTCTTCAAATTTCATGTAAAAGCATTCAATCAAAAATTCACTGACATAATAAGGTAACATAGGTTTTTCTCATCACTGTTGCTGATACATGTGCAACAGATTACTTTAGTTGGAAGAAAAGGTTATGTACGCTGTTCACACCAAATACATCCAACAAATAAATAGATATTGTAATGCTTTGAAAGGTTAGGCCAAATATAAAAAAAAAGGCTTCCTTTTTGGAGGCCGCCTTTTTTTTTTTTTAACACACACAAAAAGATAGATTTTAAACAGTGACATTCTGGCGTCTTTGTCTGTTGCATCTAGCCCATATTAAGCTGTCATTCCTGAGTCCAAGTGGCGGCCATTAAAAAAAAAAAGCTGGCAGCCATCTTGAAAAATAGCCCGGTCGGGCGGCCATTTTGGAAGGGAAAAAAAAAAGGGTCTCCTTCTTTTTTTTCAAAAAGCAGGACGCTAAACATGTTTTTTTTTTACTTGGCCTTAAGGATGTAGATGAAGTGAAAGTAAATGTTCTCTTTCATTTGGTTGTTTTATTGTCTTCAGGTGATGATCTACAATCCAGCCCTTATGCATCACGTTCACACTGAATGGACACAGAAACATGGCCGGTACCCGTCAACTGGTCACCTAGCGATGTTCTTTGCCTTGCAGATATGTGACGAGGTATGCCAGAGAAAGTCATCGTAGAATAAAGGCTTTGAAACCTAAACAAATGTTGAAGTTGACGTCAAATACTCTTAAAAGGGGCTTTGTTTGTTGTTAAATGGTATGAATTTCTTAAAAGAAATCAAATTTACAAAATTCAGATTTCTGCAAGCTTGTGTAATAATATAGATGCATTTATCCTCTTGGATGCTGAGTACCGATATGAACATTTTATTTGAAAATGATGCATTTTGCAAATTAGTATATTTTGTCAGTCTTCATTTTGTTGTAAGAGTTTTCTTTGCAGATGAGTCGTAAAAAATCAGTGGACTAAAGGTTTTCTTCAAATTATTTCTGATATTTCTGTTTGTTGAAAGGTTCCCCCATTTATTGGTAATTTTAGGTAAATTATGCGAGTTAAATTTTTTAGGTGGAATTTATTTTTTACACTGTTGTCGTCACTGTTAATGAGTTTTTTTGTTTTAACCCCTTTTCCCTTCAAGGTTAACCTGTTTGGCTACGGAGCCAACAAGCTGGGAAACTGGGATCACTACTGGAAGAAAGACGACGGAACTCACAACTCCTTCTTCAAGAAGACGGGCGTACACGACAGTAACTATGAACAGTCTATCATGGACAGCCTCCAAAAAGCCGGCAAGATCAAGATATATCCGGGGGTCAGATGATCGGAAAAACAAATATTGGCAAGTGTATCCAGCTTGTAGTCAGGAGACTTGACACAAAAACCTTCTTTAGGGGAGGATAGAGCTAGGGTGGGGTGAGAGGAGACGGGACTCCAGACAACACAAGTGTTCATGCAGGGAGGTTACACTGTAACTAAGGTCACATCTGATTTAGTTGGCTACGGCAGTCTTCTCAAATATCCAAGACAAGTTGCAAACAAGTTTGTCCGCAATAGGCCCAATCGTATCAGGTACTAGTTGCTGGATTCTGAACATTTCCCCTGGAATTTTCCTGTGTTGAAGTTATCGACATTGTTCACAAACACTTAACTTCATTCCAGGAAGTTTTCAGGAAATTTGTGTGGAATCCTGCCGTAATACCCAATAGGCCTATTGAGAATATACATGTGGATGAAAACGAAAGCCAGGGTCCAAATTAGTCTGGCGCCTCTACTTGATCAACCCATTATAGAACTTGATGTTCCAAGGAACCTCACAGGTGCGGTTCATATGGGAGCTTTTCACAGGATTTTGTTTTTTTAATGAACAATATGTTCACATCAATTTTGTCGGGCCACCACGAAGTGACGTATCGTCTATGGACTTTGTACACATGATACGTCACTTCGAGGTTCGACCGACGATTTGATGTTATTAAGTGAAATTTTGTCCTTTTTTTGGTGGTGAGCCTGGTAGGTTTCCCATGCTCAGTTAGTTGATGCAGTTTTCTTTCACTGAAGTAATTTAAGAGACAAAGAAATTTACCAAAATCAAATTCTCATAAATAAGTAACTGTTTCCTTACCCCCAAAAATGCTCCCTCCTAAAAAAAAAGAGAACCTCACCTGTACCCCAACAAAATAGTGGCAGCATGATTCAAAGATACACATCGGAATCAAATTCAACAACGACTCTGAGAGAAAATTGTTTTCCCTGTTATTGAACAGCTAACAGTTTCGCCTGCCCGTGCCAAACATTAATCCTAGATGCATTCCATTGTTAAAAGTACTGAATTTATACCAAAAAGAAGCAACCCATAGGTTTGAAATATCGGTCACAAATGAAGCCAAAGCTTTCAGAAAAATATGAACTTGTACTTTATTCGGAATTTCACATTGCAGACTGTAAATTATTCGCAAAAGTTTTTTTGAACCTAGAAGTTCTGAGGTTAATATTCATAGTGAACACCGACACACTGCTGCAGTTGGCACTTTTTCTGAGGTTCATTTTTCTTTTGAAAATTGCCATTTGTTGTTCGTTTGCAAATCTTCAAATCCATGGTAGATTTGAAGTCAGAGAACAGCCAGTCCAGTATGTCAAGGCAGATTCTTGCCGTAATGAACTCTGACACAGGGTCAGCTTAATTTAAATATTCATGTCCATGCACTTGGGTACTGCATGCCACGTCAATGCTTACTTTGGATCCTGACCAATCAGACTACAGGAAATGAAGCGTTGTCAACCATAGCAACCAATGACATCTCAGAAGCTGTGAGAATGTGAAAACACCAGAATGTGAACATTCTATTGCAATATTTGTGTAATGCTTTTGCAACTTGCAAATGTTTTATGTTCTGTTGAAACCATTCAAATGGAGATACAACCAAACAAAAAAACAAAAAAAATGTGGAGACAATTTTTTCTTCAGTTTATTACAATTTGTGATCCATATACCATGTATACATGTACATATATGTCTAAACAGTACTGTAGAAGTAAATTGCCACTAAAGGCAACATTTTGAAGATGCTCAAAAAATGTGTTAACACAGAGCTTATTTTTCACCATGGTGACATCATACTTTTCAAGTGGGCATAAATTTCCAAGAGAAGTTCATGAGAAAACAGTCCTTGTCAATAAGACGATCTGTCTTTAAAGTATCCCTAAAAAAAGTTAAACTCCACACGTGCTATTGTATGAAGCAAAAAACACAATCTTGTGCTAAACTCATTTTTCAAAATTGTAAGCTTCAGTTTCTAAAGTATTGCTCAATTCTTGCCATAAGCTGAATCCAAAATCAAAGGTTTTATGATTTTTTTGTGCTGCAAGAACTAAAAGTTCTTGTTGAAAGTACAGATTGTATGAATATTTCAATTCCAGTATTTAAGTTGTTCACTTCATTTCAATTTGTACAATTGTTAATCCTCTCCTGTGAGGCCAAGTGCTTTTCCCAGTTGACAATTTCAGGGTAATTATGATTTTAATTGGTCATCCGTTTGTTGGACTTCAGATGAGTTGTGAAACTGTTCAGTATTAAAGTTCATGTTTTAAAGTCATGCAGTTTATGAACAAAAAAAAAACATTTGAACAAATTGCGGCTGACATGTTTTCTAGTGCTCCAGGGTCTTTTGTTTGTACAGGGTGAAAAACAGTTATCCGTTGTTGTATTTTGTTTACGTTCCACCGTTAAGCATTTAAGCCACCTCATGTGAGATAATTTTGCATTTTCCAGCTTCAATATAAATTTGGACTCTATGTACTGTAGCTCTGCTAATTATTTATAATAGGCTGTTTCTAAGATGTGTTAGTCAGTTGACTCTGTTTCTCATGAAGACATTTGGTCATTGTGATGTTGGTGTTTTTATGCACATCTGCTGTGCTGAATCCTGAGAGTTTAATATGCTTTTCTTTCTCTTTACAAAATGTCAATTATTTCATAATAATTTTCCATGATTTATCATTTTCACTGAGTTGTAATCTCGGCAGCCAAGTTGTGGTTAATATTGCCTCTGCACCGAAACAGTTTGTGTCATATTCAGGAATTGTTTTTAATGCCATAAACGCTGACATTTTGGAAAGCAGTTATATCAGCCATAACAGAACTTTGAATGTAAAACTCGATAATTTTGAAACTGTTCAGGTAAATCAGTACTGTACAGAACTGAGTGACTTGTCTTGTAGTTTTTGTCACTTACCAGATTTATATGCTAAGCAGAAATAAGCCAAGCTACCAGTCACTAAGTTGGAACATATTCACATAATGTTTTTGCTGTTAATAAGTTTAGAAGTTCATGTATGAAAAACTCTTTTGTGCTCAAACAATCTGTGTGCTGAACCAATTTCATGATCTTACCAGCTTTTCCCATACTGGTGAGAAAGTGCTTTTTTTTCCTTCTGTTTTTCACCGAATCATATTTGCACTATAATATTATTGTATAATGTTTTCAATGTTTAGTATGTACATCCCATCCAATTTAGGCGTTATACAGAAGTTTAATGTGCAATGGATTTAAGTTTTGATATTGAGAGGTTTTTTTACAGTTGAAATTTATTTAATACAATTGTATGTACTGTATGTATTGTTATGCAAATGTAATATTTAAGTTTATAGTTTGATTTTGTTTTGATTTTCATTGTTAACCAACATACTGTTTACGATAACAGCAATTTTGCCCCTGTAATTGACATACACAATTACCGTGCCTGAAAGCATTGTACAGGCATGAGATTTTTCAGACTTTCGACGGAAATCAGACTTTTTGAATCCGAGGAAAGACATTATCAGTATGAAAAGAGCAGGCCCTTTCATTCCACTTTCAGACTTTATATTAAATTGACAATCTCATCCTTCATTGTATGGTGACCCATACATGCCATCACACATAGACTCAATCAGGCATGAGAATGAATTTCAATGAAAAAAAAACCAGGAAACTTGTGCAAACACAGGAAAAAAGATGTGAAATGAGGCAAAAAAGCCCCAAACAGGCTCAAACAAATAATAACGCAAACATTTGGGCAACTGCTTGGTGCCAAGGCTGATATGCACTGGGTTCACTGCACAATGCAACAGAATCCACTGTTGCAATTTGTTGCATTTTTTATAGCAGGGTTCTTATTTCAGCCAAGTTGCATTTTGTTGCAATTGCCAGGGTGCCCGGAGAAAACCTGTCGGGGGGGGGGGGGGGGGGGGGTTAAGGGAAGCAGTACCTTCTAGGGGATTAAGTTTAAAACATTTCCTCTCATTTCTTGGAAGATTTTTTTTGCCTCTGAAGAAGTCCTTGCTGAGGATGAAATATCAGGCCATTTCCTTGAAGTGATTGTTATGTGTTTTATGTTGAACCAACTTCATGAAATTAAAAGTGTGCTGATTAATGTGCTACTATAAGTTGCACCAAAGTATTTGTATAAATAGTACTTGGAATTATTTAACAGTTTGTTCCATGTGAATTGAAAGATTATTTAGATTTACATATGTTATGAATATTAATTTGTTGCACTATGTAATTAGTATTTGATACTGTGACTGTAAGTTTAAAGAGGATGTTGACTGTATGAAGCAAACTCCTAACTTTTCAAAATGCACCTACATTTGTATGTTGAATTTGGCTGTGTGTAAAATGAATCTTCACGTCCAACAACAATCCACCAAGTTCAACTACATGTCCATGGAATTCTATGAAACAATTTGCTTTGGTTTCAAATTATCAAGGCATTTGTCTAAAACTCAGTACTGCAAAATGCAAACCAGTTAAACTATCCAATACTGAATATGAAATCTTTTGACAGAAATAATATTGCAAGATCTGTATATTTTCCTTAGAAATCATCTTCCTCCAATTAGTTTGGACTCCCAATTTTCAAAAGCATAATTGACATAATGCAGAGAAGACTTCATCAGGATTAATCTTTTACACGCCTTGTGTTTTACAAAATGGTCAACAAAAAATAAGATTCACATTTACTGAGGATTGTATATGACCGTGTGCTGAATTGTTCTGCGTCTTTGTAGAAACAAAACAATTGGACATCTTTTTACAATATCTACATGTGTATACTTACAAATATGAAGGTTTTGGGATTGTTTGACTTGTTAGAGGGGCTGCATTTGTGGACATCATAGTATGAGAACACAAATACCCAACACTATGAAAAATAGGTCTATGTATGTATTTCATTGAGTAGTGTTCTACGTACTTCTCAAAGAGGCAAGATATATGGCCTTCTTTTGTCCACCCATTCAAAGCCCAAAACCCTCCTTTTAGCAGTACTTTCTGCAAAACCAAAGTATAAGAGTCTTTGAAAAACAGTAACTTTTAATGTTTATATCTGTTATATCTCAGCACACGTGCACCTAACACAAGCACCTCATTTATTGTTGTTGAAATAAAAGAGTTACTATGTTGAAATAAATTCTGTGGTCTAGTGCATTTTTTCCCCAAGTATATACACTGTAGTTACATTTGGTTAATTCATCTTAAGAATACTTTAAGTATACAACTGCCAATTTCGTGTTGTTTTCAAATGCACAACTTTTAGCTGTCGGACTAACTAAGTTGTTATGGGCGTTAGGCTGACACCATAATAAGCAAAAGTTGGCAGCAGCATTTGCCTTAAAATCACAACAGGAATTCCATTAAATTTTTTGCCAAAGATGGCTCAGATTTCTTTTAAGTGTGAAGCAATTCCACAAAATTGGGCCGTGTTCAATCCGAGTCTTCATCGTGTGTGTTAGAATGATCTTCTTGTACTGCTTTAATGCCTACAATCATGTCAATCCTTAAGAGGTCTTGAACTGTTTGATAGCATCAATCCACAACATGTACCTAGCGGACATGGCTTCCCAAACACCAGCGTCACTGTTATCACACAGAGCTCCCGTCCTGCCATTGACACTGATAAGAGCATTGCAGTGTCGCACTTTGGAAACAATCTCTAAGAAGGATGACTTCCTACTCTTTGGAGAGAATGAAATTCCTGTGTAGGGTTCTGGGTATGCAGAGTGCTGCATCCCGGAGAATACCGATAGCTGTGCGGAAGGCAGGACTCTTCAGGTTCCAATCTCTATCGTGACCACGAGACAATATTCTGTGTAACAGGAACTCAGTACACCCTCCTCCAGGGATACAAATTCCTTGCGGCTTACACATTTCAGTTTTTTGCCGGCTGTTAGTGTTATTGTTGGACTGAGATCTGATTCCAAAATAGGTGCATCAGGAGCCCCAGTTGTATCTTGCATAGCGGAACCGCAACGTCTGGCACTGGATTGGTCCAAGCTTTCTACACACTCACATTGCACGGTATTGGCATTAGATTTCCTACTTGAGGTCTTATTGATGTTGTCTCCATCTCTCATAGGTACGGCGGCAACAAAGCTGGTTTCCAACCACATACGCAGAGTCTTGAGTGCATTGAGTACTGCCATGAACCACTGCCTGCATATGCCTTGAGTTGGTGCACAGAGTACCAGTTGCTTTGTGCGTACTCTCTCATCATTGAACCCTAGATGAACACCAATGTTTTGTCCAACCATTACAGATCCACAAAATGTAGCACTGCCTATTTTTAGTGGATCTCACGATGTCAGTAGAATCGTAAACTATGTCGGTTTTTGTCAGCCGTGCAAGCCGGCTCAATTCTTCTTCTGGGATCATGTGAACAGCGGAAATTCTGGCAGCTCTGCAGAAGGACAGCGTTGCATCTGAGAGAAGTTCAGATGAAAGAACAAGCATCACCCCACACTCCTTGAGATGTTCAATTAGGGACTGAGTCCGAGATGTTCCCAACTCAAGGAACATTGTCAAGTCTCTGGTACTTTTTGCTGCCAAGGTTGAACGGACATCAGGGGTCCACTTGTCAAGGGAGCAACTGAGAATGACAAATGGCACAGTGGTCAGTGTATCAAGATCGTCTGACTGGAAGGCGAAGTTTCGTGTGAGCACTACGCCATCCAGAAGTTTGGATTTACTGACGGGTTGGTTAGGAACCTCCAGGCACCACGTCATAGTCGTTGATCAGCCCCTGCATGGTTTCGGCGAGATTGCCAACATCTTGACAACTGCCGCAGACCAATTCAACAATCAGCTCAGCCACATGATTAGTTGCGTGCATAGTAAACTTCCCACCGAGAGAAGTTCTCACAATCTTCCTGCTCATGCTTCTCAAATCTCCTCTCTTTTCTTCAACCAGATCCAAGCACACACAATGTCTCCGTAGCTCTGGTAGAACCACCTCAGGAAAGATCTCGGAATGGATGGTCTCCAGAGCTTGACTGACTGCAATCAGGTCTTGCTTACTGGAAGAATCCGAGCTTGTGCTTTTCAGTGAAACTGCATCCTGCAACTGCGCAGTAGTTCCGTAACGATCAGCACAAACGATTTGGAATTGTCTCCCGTGACATCGTGATGACTCTTGACATGCTGCAGGATCCATCTTGCTATTGGATGAGACAAATGCAAGGAAGTCAAGATGGTGAGGCCGTCTCCAGTTTATCACCACTCTGCCTGACGGTGAGGTCAGCATGGTGTGAAGTGCATTGGGACGATGGAATCCCTCAAGAGGCCCTCTATAGTCTCGCATATCGTCACGGCAGTCAAAGGTTTAGCTGGCAATTCCTGACCCTCTGCAGCTGATAAACATTGTAATATAAATAATTGAAACAGGAATTGGAAGTTTTGCTTTAAAATGTGTGCACTGGATGTAGCTTGAGTATTAGCCCGAC